TGAAAAACACACACCTCTTAGTAAAAAAAAAAAAAAAAAAAAAAAAAAAAAAGTTAATAAATAAATGAATATATAATAAATAATAAATAAAGTTATTTATGATATATATATAAAGTTATCCTGCTAACCAACCAATAAATAATAGCCAGATCGCCACCCAAATTTATTGGCATCTAAATTAGTCAAAGACACACCTCTGGTAAAAATAAATAAATAAATAAAAGAAACGAAAAATAAACAAAATCTTTTAATAACTTTTGAGTTATATTGCTAGCCAACGAAAGAACAAACAAACAAACCGACGCGACCAAAACAGAACTTTCTTGGTGAACAACAGCATTGATTTCCTCTTTCAATCCTAGTTTCTAGAAGCTTCCAGAATGCGATGGAAATGACTTGCACAAAATGTCCGTCTATATTGCAATATTCTTGTAAATTCATGGTGTATGTATTTATATGTATATATGTTTATATATATGTGTGTGTGTGTGTGTGTGTGTGTGGGCGTGTGTGTGTGTGTGTGTGTTGTGTGTGTGTGTGTGTGTGTGTGTGTGTGTGTGTGTGTGTGTGTGTGTGTGTGTGTGTGTGTGTGTGTGTGTGTGTGTGTGTGTGTGTGTGTGTGTGTGTGTGTGCATGCATGTATTATATTATATTTAATGTGCATATACATATATACACATATGTGTATATATATGTATACATTCATATATATATATATATTATATATAAGATAAACCATCTTAAACAAGAAATAGATAAAAAATATATAATAATACACAACAAAACAAAAATAATAAGAAATAAATAAGAAAGAAAGAAAAAATACATATATGTGTATATACAAAGGTTTGCAAATGTAAAAACAACACAAATTCTCAGTACAGAGTTATAAGCAGAAGCAAAACTAGGAATAACCACAGGCACTAAAGCGCGGACCGAAAGAAGAGGAGGAAGGAGGAGAAGAAGAAGAAGAGAGAGAGGAGGAGACGAGGAGAAAGAAGAAGAGAGGCTAGGTGAGGAGGGGAGAAGGAGGGAAGGAGGAAGGAGGAAGGAGAAGGAGAAGGAGAAGGAGAAGGAGAAGGAGGAGAGAGAGGAAGAAGAAGAAGAGAGAAGGAGAAGGAGAGAAGAGAAGGAAGAAGAAGAAGAAGGAGAGGAGGAGGAGGAGAAGAGAAGAAGGAGGAGTGAAGAAGAAGAAGAAGGAAGGAGAAGAAGAAGAAGAAGAAGAAGAAGAAAGAAGGAAGGAGGAAGAAGAAGAAGAAAGGAGAGGAGGAAGGAAGGAAGGAGGAGGGAAGGAAGAAGGAGAGAGAGAGAGGAAGAAGAGAGAAGGAGGAGGAGGAGAAGAGGAAGAAGAAGAGAAGAAGGAAGAGGAGGAGAAGGAGAGGAAGAAGGAAGAAGAAGAAGAAGAAGAGAAGAGGAGGAGGAGAAGTAAGAAGAAGAAGAAGAGAAGAAGGAGGAGAGAAGAAGGAGGAGGAGGAGGAGAGAAGAAGAAGAGAAGAAGAAGAAGAGAAGATGAAGAAGGAGGAGGAGAGAGGAAGAAGAAAGAAGAAGAAGAGGAGGAGGAGGAGGAGGAAAGAAAGAATCATTGAACTCAAATCATTCATCCTTCATACCCCCCCCCCGCCCCAGCCCAGTTCTCGCTGCCGCCCACGCGCCCACATCAAAACGTTTTGGGTGCCAGCACTCGGTAAGTCTTACGCCCACCCCTTCTATTCCACCGCCCCCCCCCTCCTGCAGGAAGAAAGAGAAGAAGAAAGAAGAAGGAGGAGGAGGAGGAGAAGAAAAGAAGAAGGAGGAGAGAAGAAGAAGAAGAAGCAGACAAACAAACTAACGTGAACCAAAGTAGCAGATTTAACATGTGATTCCCCCCTCCCCCCTCCCCCTCTCCCCTCACCCCCCCCCCCCCCTTACCCCCCCCATACCCCTCACCGGTACGCTCATATATAGTTATTCACGTACGACTAACTTTGCTTACCTCCTGTCAATATTTTCCTAAAACCTTGTTGTATAAAGAAAGAAATGGATAACATACCTAAAAGATTTAATGTTCTTTGCCTCAGAAAGGATTTTCATTCTTGGACTATGATCATTCGACAGATAAGCATCGCCTAAGTCCTCATGTCAGCACACGCCCGCACTCTGAAGTCAGCCATTATATCTAGTTCGTTAGGTATGTCAAGAAAGAGGGAAAAGAGGGAAAAAGGGAAAGAGGAGTGGGAGGGAGAAAAGAAAAGCATGTCATCAAACCCAACACTTTCGTCGACTTGTCTGTTCAGAGTATATTTCTCCCTGTAAAATCGGCTGCAGGCGTGTTGCTCGGCGCTTATTTCCGCCCGCGCCGCACCCATCGCCGGCGTTCTGGCACATCCAAGGTCTATATATGTATTTATATAGACCTTGAGCACATCCGCCTGCGACAACGACGGCGGCGGCGACTGCGGAAAGCAAAGATGCATGCAAAAACCGCGGCAAGATTCTGCAAGAACCTTTTTTATCCAATGCC